CTATGAAGTGTTTTGCCCAAAATGCCAAACAGATCATGCATTGTAGAATGCCTCATACTCAGTGGTGGCTGGCCCATAGGGGCACTAGGGCGCCGCCCCACCTCTTCCCACATTCTAGATTGTGATTAAAAAATATCTTTAAAAAAAAAAAATTCTTTATGAACTACGTGCATATTATATAGTTGGTGTCAGTTAAATGTATAATCTACGATAAAATATCGATAAAAATTGTTTTACGATGTCTAAAGTTACTGATAAGTCACGTGTTTCCTGCTTGGGGCGCATAAATCTTTGACCATTGACTCTTGTTATAAGTGGTGCATGCGCAGTCCGCACCTCTTCAATACAAGTGATAGGAGCAGCTCGGAGCGCACCAAACTGCGCCCAAAGCAGCTGTTGACACACCAACAACTAGGGAGCAGCAGGAGCGCCAGAGTGAGTGATTGACGTTTGAATAAGAGAATTAGACGGAGTGTAAACAAAACTAGATATATCAGGAAAAAAAAAAAAAAAGCATGAACAAACTAGAGTCCACATGGATGATGCTATGCGACTAGCCATGTTTAGGAAAGTAAACACAGCTGTCCAATGAGGGCTACAAGATAGGGATCAGTAAGCATAATAAGGAGGTTGACAAAAGCAGGCACTCAAATAATAGACTGTATCAAGTGCTGTGTGCCTTTGAGCTAGAAAAATACTGATCTAACAGTTTTGTTCATGAATCAACCTTTTTAATGAAAAATCTTTTATGTAATTTCCCTTTTCCAGGAATCACAATAGAAACAGTTTGCCAGACTAATACATTTCTAATTTGACATCAAATGAAAGATATTTACAGTTAAGAATTAGATAATAATGAATGCCATAAATTATTGGATACATTTACAGTTTCTTTTTTCTCCAGTATGATAGCTGTCAAATCAATTTCTCACTTAGTCTAAGACTGTACTTAACCCACGAAAAGGATTTATTCTCAAATAATCGGGTTATTATGTCGTAATAATAACTCATCTCTCTCCTTTAGATTAATGTGGTTGGGTTTATTTTTCTTATTTGCGAAACGTTGCTGTGTCAAATGTCCTACTTGGGTTGCTGTTCAACATGGAGGACCAACTCACGCTTGCGCAGTGCAAATCGGGAAGACACATGCTCTCCTCTGTGACGAGCAGGCTGTCTGCTCAGATACAGCTAAATGCTGCATGTGATTAAACGCCATATCATGTTCCAACCACATCAAGCATTCTTTCTGAAACAGTATGGAGCTCAAATGCTTTCTCTTTCGCGGGTTTACCACAAGGCGAGTACCTTTTTATATCCTGCTTTTTTTACACATACTCCCTCCAGTAAAGCGTTAGCTGTGAGTGTTAGCGATGCTTGCTGATCGTGACCTTCAACAGGTGCACCATGGAGAGGATCAAAAACACAAGCAGACCATATTACTTCCAAAACACGTTGCGCATTGTTTCTGACAGCGACGTTTTGATAGCGACGTGCGTGTAAAGCCAGCCCACATTTTAGTAATGTCGTCCTGATGCAGCAAATCTGGATCAGCTCCGTTGTTCCCCCGTTTTTAGAGATGTGGGTAAGGAGGAAAAGAGAGAGTATTTTCTGACACTTTGTGAGTCTCCTTACGCACCGTGAACACATTTATGTAAAAAATACATCAAAAAGTGCATTTTGCATAATAGGTGGCCTTTAATACTCAAGTCTGACTTTGATTCCAGTGTTATTATCCAGAACACAGAAGGTCTCATGCTGCCTCACCTGTTTGCAGCCAGCAGATTGTTTCTTGGTGGTGACGGGGCCTTTGGGGATGAAGGTGGCAGCTCCTCTCCATGGTCTGTGAACTGCAGCAGGGGGGGAACAGGGTCCAACAGATGAGTCCAGATCCCAGCAGTCAGGAGGCTCGCGCTCCCTGGTCTGGAAGCCCCCCTTCCAGTTCTGAGTTGGAGTTTTTATATAAGTAAGGTACAGTCAGTTGAAAAACTGCCATCCAAATGGAGTCTAAGTGATTCCTGGGTTACAGTCAAACTGAAATGCAGCTTTAAACATACAAACTGGATATCTGGCTCACCTCCTTGGAAACTTCCTTTGAGTTTGATGTGGCTAAAGGGGACAAATAAATATGAAATCCACCATATTCAAACAAGGCACACAGTAGTTTCAGTAGTCAATTCATCTTTATACTAGCATGATTTTTAAGTTCAATTTCACCTATAGGGCTGTGGCTGTTGGCTCTCAGAAACTCCTCTGCAGGGTTATTGGGTGGAGATGGAAGACAAGTGAAGTACTTGCAGTTCATCAGCTCAGCGAGTTCTTCTTTGAACAGCTTATCTAAAGAAATGATAAATCACTGCATATTTGATTATTTTTACCAGTTTTTCCTTTTCTGCAAATAAATTATCAAAAACAAACATGCCCATTTCACTGAGGGCCCAAGATTATCCAAAAATGGTGTAGACAATCCAAAGAGATTGGTTAGTATGATACGCTTTTTATAATAGATTAGAATCCAACCAAGTTAGGTCCGGTACATTCTATAGAGTTGAAGGTGCTCATCACAGCATTTTGATGAGGATTTGTCAAAAGAAAATACGAGACCATTTTTGGACAAAGATCATACATTAAAATGGGTTACATTCTTTAGATTGAGTTAGTATCAAACTACTGGTAATAGAATTAATTATTAATTCAGGAAATGTTATATCTTGACTCAAAAATGTCAGGCTTTACATGTTGAAAAAAAAACAACATCCTTCATATCTTATTAGAGATATGTGGATCTAGGTTATTGTTGGCTCTGTTACTCACATGTGGATCCAGCCACCGGCTTGTCTTTCCCTTCCAGCAGGTCCAAGTGGGCCACAGCCGCCCGCTCCATCTGCTCCTCTAAACTAAAACATGACAGCTGAGGTCATCAACATCGAACTCTTTATACCAGTAAAATGGTGTTATCATGTACTACAATTTGCATCAACTACTCTTAAAAAAAATGTAGCTTGAAGCCAATCTATGAGGTAAATATTCTTGGCTGAGGGAATAAGTTATATGAACTGAAGCAGTAACGTTACATTTATGCCACTGATCAGAGCTGTGCAGTTACAGCAACACATTCTGTATGTGATGCATAGCCTCAGAACAAGATATTATCAGCATGAACTTTTCTTGCAAATGGAATGCTATACAATTCCTTCAAACTATAATAAATGTTTTTTTATGACCTGTCCCTATATACTAAGGTCTGTTTAACACTGCTGGTATTTTGTAGTTACATAGTCAATGTATCACAGAAACATTTCAATCATTTCATTTTGATTTAATTTGGCCAAAGATGTATTGTATTTCTCTGTATCCTATAGGGCAGTGGTTCCCAACCTGGTGGGCACGCCAGGCCTCAGATGATTTGTGGCCAAATATCATATTTAGACTTTTTTTTCATATAGAGGATCCTGACCTCCTACAGGTGCACCATAGAGAGCATCCTGACCTTCTACAGGTGCACCATAGAGAGCATCCTGACATTAAAGAACATATATCACCTAAAACAACAGAGATATAGGGTGCTGCCATGAATCTAACCTCAGTGTGTGATCTCTCTTGACTCCCAGCAGGGTGGCCAGCTGACTCAGGCTCTGCAGCTGCTGGGCTGTGATGGGCGGGGCCTGGTTGTGTCCAGCCAGCAGGTCTGTCCTGATGTGCTCCAGCTGCATGATGTGGAGAAGGTGCTGGAACTGCAGCACAGAGGTCAGATTCTTCCTCTCAGTCTCCACCTTTGCCGCTTTTTCCTTCTTCACTGCCTTCCTCTGGGCTCTCAACAACTGTAGAGGCAGAGGATTCAAGGAGCCGTTTAAAAACCTGCCATTGAACTTGTTACAAAAGATCTTTGAGTTTCAGACTACAAACTGTTTATGCAACATTGTTAACCCAATGTTTAACTGCAGGATATTAGAGTACAGATCTCAAGTGAAAAGGCTACTCAATCCAGAGGGGTTTTAAAAGGGATGTTGTGGACAACAGCTTTACAGATTGTATAAAAAAGACACTTGGAGAAAAGTTAAATTTGGGATATTGGAATATACAAGTGAAATGTGATTAATAGTTGTGTGCTATAGAAAAGATGAATAATGACTTTGTTTCTCAGATTTGCGTGTACCTAATGTGCAAACTTTAAGTTCCAATAAGTCTTCATTCTTTGAGCAAAACAAAGCACAGGCTTCAAACTATACTTAACATGCCATTCAATCCCATACCCAAAAATCAATCAAAAGTGAATGGTAGTCAGATTGGCAAAGACTTACATTCAGAGTCAATTCATCCAGGGTTTTGTGCAGCTCCTGTGCAAATGCCAGGTTATGAAGCACCTCCTCGTACTTTTCCGCCGCCGCCTCAAAAATGATAGATTGGAGAAAAAAAGCCAATGCACAAACCCCAGACAGAAACAGAAGATAATATGCTTTGGGTGCCAGTTCATAGCAAGGGCTTACCATCTGATCATGGTTAAGTTCCTCCCCCCAGGTCAGCCTCCTCTTGTAGTCTTCAAGTTTCAGCTGTGGGCACACAAGAGACTTTACCAAGTCCAGGTGCCTGCCACCTGTCCACTGAAACTGAAATCAACTCTTACCTTCTTTTTCTCCAAGTTGCGGACTTTGTTTTTTAAGCAGATGAGACCATCTTCGATGTAGAGGTCATAGCCGTGGTAGGCAGTGGATGTCTCCATGCTGAGCTGCTGGGTGCTCAGACCCAGGGGCGAGCCCCCCTTTGGGCCATCAGCCACCACAAGGTCCCCCCGTCTATCCTCCCCGCCCTCCAAGTGCTCAGGTGGTGTGACATCCAGGTTAGTGGAAGGAGACAGCTGCACCATGGTGAGCTTTCAAACTGTAAGGTTTACACCTTTTAGTGAAAAAAAGAAAAGAAACCAATGCAAAATGTACGGGCTCCTTGGTTCTGTGCCCTGAAGCTGCTGGTACCGTGTCTACAAGCCGTCCAGAGCAGACGTGCTCCCACTTCGCCTGTTTTTAAAATCTTGTTTAAAGACCCACTTATTCTCCCGTGGGTTTGCAAACCATGTATAAGACCTGTCGGTTTGTGCTTTTAAATTTGGGTTTATTTACTCATGTTTTATATTGTTTTTATGTCATGTACGGTATGAAAGTTTCCAGACTGTGGCTTTAAGAATGGTTTTATGCAATTATGATGTTTTTATATATCAATTGATGTACAGCACTTTGATCAACTCCGTTGTTTTTAAATGTGCTATGGAAATAAAGTTGGATTCACTGTATTAACAGAACCACTGAACAGCGGAGTCGGAAAGCGTCAGCGCCACACACCAACAGAAGCACGATGCAGGAGCACACTGTTTGTTTAACCGTCTCAATTCCCCAAATGTTCCACAATAATAAGTGGGGTAGGTAATTTTGGAGAAACCAGCTCGAGTGCGCGAGAATTTGAAAATACACAGCCGGAAAAAGTTGTTTGTGCACAGATGGAAGGCTGACAGGCCGGTAGGCCATCAAGTTATTTTAGCCGGGCCGGCTAAAATAATGATTGGTTGGGCTTTTTACAGTACTACGGCTTCCACAGAAATTTTTTAATGGATTTTTTGTCAAAGCACTTAAGATATTCATTGCTATCGGGATGTTAAGAGCATTCCATGGAATATAACAAACTATTTTTTAAATGAGGACTTTTATAGAGTCAAGGGAACACAGTACGCTAAGTTCAGCTTTGGCTATCCGGCATTGATGGAGAGCATTCCATGAGAATCAACAAAATAGAGGGAGGGGAAATTAATTTACTCTTCCAACCCCTCTCGACCAATATATTAGCGGAGCAGGGGAGAGAGAGGGAGGGAGGAGGGAGGGGGAGGGGAGAGGGGGGGGGGGCGGCGGGTTTTTGTTATATTCCATGGAATATAACAAAAAGTGTATCTCGAGCCGGTTTCTCAAACTTACCCTCCCCCACCTTTAAGTAACAGACTCATTTTAAAATCAGCCATAAATATCTACCCGGTTTCTGAATTTAAGATTTAAATTCGAAGTGGACCCATGTTCTTTTTGTAATTTTCAAGATGAATCATTGGAACATTATTTTTCTCATGCCCTTTTTCTAAATTGTTTGTCTAATGTGTGAGTTGGGCTTAGAGTAACAGATATTCCTGCTTCAAAATATGTCACATTTAATTATATTGATAATATGGAATCTTCCATGTGATTTGGTTAATATAATGATTATTTTGGGTAAATACCATATACACTGTGGTAGCAAGCCATAATTTCCTCGTTTTATTAATACATTAAAATGGTCTAAAAATACAGTCGTGGAAAATTGGTAAAAAGATTCATAGTGATATTTCTACATTTGTATTATTTTAAGTAAGCTCCTTAATGCCTCTTTAATGCTTGTGTGTCTTTTTTGTTGTTGATCATGCTGCCGATGTCCTGCAGTCCAGTTTAAATCCACTAACTTTGCTGCACAATCCTCCACTGGTTCAATGGCAGTTTAATCACCAGCTTCAGCAAACAAACGCCACGCCAATGAAAACTGCTGACTCACCTGAAGTGTTTCACGCGCGTGCAGACTGAGCCCCTCTCACCGGATGTCTCAAAGGGCCTGTTGGTGTCCGCTCAGACCTTTATATAGCCTACCATGCCGTGCCGTTACACCGACGATCCAGCCTGATCACTTCCGGTCCTGGCACCTGTCACGATGAGAGAACCGACTCCCGCTCCTAAAACAATCCGACAGGATTTCGTGGTAAGTGGTCCGGAATAATGTAAATGTAGGCTACTTTGTAAATGAAAACCGTTACAGCCGGCTGCCTGTTTACCTACTTGAATTTCAAATGCAATGCAAATAAATACATGAGAGAAGAAATATGACTAGAAGGGCTTTTACTCAAGTGTATTATAGTAAGGGGGCCAACACTGATATTGCAACTTAAGTAATCGCTTTTGGGTAGAAGCTGTAAACCTATCCAGTATTCATGTTTAACCCCTTGACATATGGCCTAGCTATGTTGACATCTTTGAAAATGATTTTTTGGGTCATTTAATCATTGTATCATTGTAAGTGGTAAAATCGGACCTTTTTTCACAATGCTGCCAAATTAGTGACAATTTGCTCTGTAATTTCTAACAATTTTGTAATATTATCCCTCAATATATCTCCTGTGAAAGTATGATCTTAACTATTGATTTAAAAGCAATGTCAGTAAAGCAAAAGAGTTATACAGTTCAAACTAATGGGTGGTATTTGAGATAATAAATAGTTTGAGTCTGATATTGTCGACTAAATAACAGTTACCTCCGGATTCGACCACCAAGTGTTGCCAAAAAAACAGGTATGCTAAACATTTTTCCATCTACAAGCTAGCTAGCCCATCTGCTAGCTAGCTAGCAGCACAGATCATTCCATCTTTTCCATCTCAACTTTTCACTTCACCAACAGTCAAATTAAGGAGTACTGTGTGCACATGAGTTTTTGTGAGAATGTGTACTGGTAAAATAGTTATAGCATCTATTACACATGTATATAGAACACTAGAAGTTTAAATCTGCTGGTTAGCTAGCCAGCTCCTGAGATAATGTATAGCTAAAGATGTTGCAGTGATCGACTTTTTAATTTCTCCTCACAAGAATAGAGACTAGAGTAGTGATACTATGTATTTGCCTTTCAGATGAGCCAATATGGAGCCAGAGGGAGCTGTAGTGAGTAAAAGAAGAAGAATAGCAAATTATATTAATTGGGAAAAATGCTTTATTTGTCAACATGACTATGGG